GTCAACCTAGTTGCGGTGGGCGTGCGGAATTTGTAAGTCAATCGACCTGGATGCTGGCACCGAGACTCTGGAAAACAGCCCCAGACGGCGTCATGATGTTGTAGAATGCCATAATTTAATTACTACAGCGCGGAATAACTAATCAGCAAGAATACCGCTTTATGGTACGTATGTCTATACTTTTACTAAAAGTATACCAGAAAACTTTGTTAAATCAGTCAGGCCTCTATACGCCCCGGAAAACGTATTTATTAATCCCTTGTTGAACCCTTCAAAGAACCCCATTCTAACTGTTACAGCCCACATATACGATTCTGTCATGTGCTCAACCTAGACAGTAACCCTTGCAAACCCATCCCTTGAAGTAACCCAAACAGCCATTCAAGTAACTTCTAAAGGAACTCATGGAGCCCTTAACGTATCCGTTTAAACCCTTGAAACATCCCTGTAAAGGAAACCCGTATAACTCTTTTGGTATCCCCACTTTGGAAACCCGGCTTTCCCGCGTGAAACGCGCCTTGCAGCCTGCGCTGGAGCTGCTCGAGACTCCTTCGGAGCCGCCCTCGATGCCCGTCAAGGCACATGGGGAGCTCTTCTTTGTATAGCACAATCTGAGATAAAACTATCTAGTATATAGTCCTTTAGATTGTAGTACATAGTATTGTACAACAGAGGAGAGTAGAGTATTAGCATAGCATAGGATAGCATGGCATAGTATAGGATAGTACAGTGAAGTAAAGTACAGTATAGTCTAGTGTAATGATAAAAAATCCACTATTGGTAGAGTAGTAGAGTAGAGTGTATAGTATAGTATGGAATCGCATAGCCATGATTTGTCAGAGGGAGGATACCACAACGTCCCAGGCTACAGGTGTGGCTCTTGGAAGGTTCATGGTTGATTGTCTTGGTCATTCCATGCTTTCCAAAGTTCCCCAAGCCGCAACACACACGAACCATGCATGCAGTCCCGGTCAACGCCTGCAGGCTTGCGTGGACAAGGTACGAGTAAGTTTAGGTGCATCAGTGGGTTGGCCCAGGCACTCCCGCTTGAGACTTAAGAGGTGATTGAGATGCCATCAGCATCGGCTCTTGTGATTCGTTCTGATTGATGCTCCAAACCTGTCGATCCAGCATAGAAACATCCGAGGCTTGCTTGAGAACAGGATCCACACGCTGCCGTCAGAGTGTCTCTTCGTGGCTAACGTTATCTAACGGCACTTGGAGGATCATGGGACTTAGTAAGTAGGGTTATAAGTGCCTTAATTGGGGTTATAAGAATTATAAGTATAGTTACCTTAACTATAACCCTAGTTACTAAGTCCGATGACCCTTTAAGTATTATGCATCATGCACCACAGCCTCTCGGACAGATACCAAGCGTAAGGACAGATGCAAAATCCCGAAAGACCATCGGAGCACCGGCTGGGCTCCCTCAGGCGCCGGCGCCGCAAATCTCGGCAGAGAGCGTCCTCAAGCAGCTCTTGAGACGCAATTGTGCAGTACAGTCTTGGTAAAGCCTCAGGTATTGCTTGCCTTCTTTTGGTTACATGCAGACATCTTGATGGGGATTGAAATTGGACAATCTTCCGGGATTCGGGAGTGTCGCCAAGGTAAGGTTTGAGAGCAAAGCCAGGTTCAGGATTCAGTCTGGCCATCAAAGTCAAGTCTCGGCAATGGATACCACAAAAGAGGGTGGTAGAGGGCAGTGATTTCGGCGATGGAGGTGTGCGCCACGGCAAGCGCAAGATCATGGCTGTCACTCCTCCGTTCACTTGTGTTGCTTTTGATTTTACTTGCTTCATCGGTGCAATATCCTGCCGGCTGAAGATTGCGGTAGTTACCGCGATGGTTGTCGATTAGAAGAGACACAGGCATGGCCGTTGCACCGGAGCAGTTCCATTCGTCCACACGACTTACATTGGCGACAGATCCAAGAAGATACCGGATGTGCCCAAAGCCTTCCCAACCAAGGACATGTAGGCACCATGAGCCCAAACCGCATTGCGCCTCTCTGCATCTTGTCGAGATCCAGGGCTTTCGGCGAAAGTTTCCGATGTTCCCCTCAGGTTGGAGGCGAAGGCCAAGCCCGCCCCGCCGAAGCAGCCGATGCCTTATCGGCTTGAGCTTTTAGGGTTTAGGGTTTAGGGTTCAAAGCGACAAGGAAATTGAATGGCTCTCTTTTTCCTAATTCTCGCTGCTGTGACAGTGAGGCAGGTGCTAGTCCTCCTCCAAAGTTCAATCTGGGTTTAGGGTTTAGGGTTTGGGCTGTTCCAGTGTCTAAGTTTCGTAGGTCATTTCTTGGCTGTAGTTTCCTCGGAGTGATGTGTAGTCTTTGGTGAGGTCTGTGGGGTATCTAGAGCCCTTTCTGAGGTGTAGCAAGCTTTGGCTCGATCTTTGCAGAACATCTTATAATAATCTAGTATTCTACCACTGTATTCAGAGATATCGTACTTGTTACTGTGATGTTCTTGCAAGATTCTATTGTTATCTACGATTGTAATACCATACTTTTGGCTATTGCGCTAGTCTCGGCCGTGCACCTCTTTTAAGTTTGGGAGCTAGGATTAGGGGGACCCTTGGGGATATAGACCCTCTCAATAAGGCCCCTTTTAAGAGAGCCAGAAGTAGGGTTCAGAAGGGGTACCCTTTAAGGGGTACCCCTAATCATACTACCTTTTCAGCCACCCGGCCCCAAAGGCCGGCCAAGAGGACCGAGGAGGACAAGGGTCAAGGCCAGAGCAACGAGCAGGGCCAAAAAAGCTTCAGGGCACTTCGGCTAGAGGGTTTTTTAGGGTTTGGGGGTTTGGGGGTTCAGGGTTTAGGGTTTAGGGTTTAGGGTTTGGGGGTTTAGGGTTTGGGGGGGGTTTAGGGTTTAGGGTAATGTAGCAGCCTGAATTCAACCCATATGGTCCCTTAAAGTTCCTTGTTATACCCAGCAACCCCACGTTCGTGTGCAAGGCCGCTGCTTCTGCTCTGCCAGAAAATACTGGCACACACCGTTTTTCATCTTGACACGCCCAAAACCTCGGGTACCACAGCGTTCTCGTACGTTGCGAGCTCAATGCACCCAAGGCCCAAGCATGACGACGTCCGTGGTTTAATCCGTCCTCAGTTGAGAGCATCTGCGGCCCAACCATGATGACATCCATGATCTGTGAGAGCATCCATGGCCCACCCATGATGACGTCAGTGGTCCCATCCGTTCTGAGTTCAGAAACCCTGTCCCGTCCTGAGTTCAGAGCATGCATGGCCAAAACATGATGAAGACGTGGTGTAGCCCGTTCGGAGTCCTGAGCATCCATGGTAATCCGTCCTCAGTTGACAGCATCCATGGCCCAACGGCCCAACCATGATGACGTCCGTGGTCTAATCCGTGATGAGTTGAAAGCATCCATGGCCCGACAATGATGACATCCAGGGTCTATTCCGTTCTGAGTTGGAGGCAGCCATGACAGTGCGCGATCCTGTTGCCCGCCATAGAGAAAATGCTTCGTGCAGCAATATTTTCCTGGTTCGGAAACTAGCGAATATGCCTTTTGTCCCAGAAACAACCAAACTTTCCTTCTAACTTCCTATATCTGGCGTGCATCGTACGTGCGAACCCGCGATCGGCACGCGGTATTTTACTGTAATGAGCCCGAAACCCTATTCCAATCATGTAGGCCCCGGTATCCGAGGAGTTGCTAAGGATCCACGTTGGCATGAATTGTTCGTTGCTGGTCCAGCATCCTATGCTCTAGCCAGGTATACGAGGGCATGCCATGGGTTTCCTCCCTCACAAGAGGCTCCAAATAGACTACATGATGGAATTAGGGCCCCAATGCCATAGTAGGTATGGTCTTTTGGGACCCAATTCCATAATGGTAGTATATATGGATCCTCTAGGGAATGGATGGCAGAAGTTCATGGGTTCGCTGCCTCTCTTTGCCTCCCTGTCATCGTTCAACGGGTGTTGGCTCTTGGCCAGGTCGTGCACCGGCAAAGGCCTGGAAGCTGTCTACAGCAAGGGTCGCAGGGTGCCTCTGACATATGGGTGGTTATCAATTATGGTCCCTCTTTGGGTCCGTAATATGATACGGAACCTATTATTTAGGGTACCCCAAAAGGGACCCTAATTTTGACAACCACCCATATAAATATGGATGCATGTATGAATGTCAATGGTGTCAACTCTGCCTAAGGCACGCTTCGGTTGCAATAGGGCTGTTGACAACTTCTTTCTTCCGTGGTGGTTGTGAGCCGCTCGGCAACTTAAGTAGCGTTGTCAAACTAACGTAAAACACAACTGGGGGGGAGTGCAACGCAATTTGGCAGGATCATTCTGCAGCCTGTCTGCTGCACAGAAGCTTCTTTCGTGTTGATGTTTCACACTTTGGAGACAGGACCGGCATGGTCGAATCACGGCATGAGCAGCCATACCTGAGGCTTAGTTCGCCCAAACATGCCTTGTGTCCGAACGTACCTACAGTGTCACCAAGCACAGATCGGAGCATAGTATGCAACGTCCCATGCCTGATTGTAGTTTTGAACACCCCAGGTGCTGAAAGTCGCAGGCCACCTGCGAAAGGAATAGGTTCGAACCGTAGGCTTGAACGCCTGACACCTAATGTAGGGACCTTCATAATTAGAATAGGGTTTTGGGGTATATTATTCCATATTTAGAGTAAGGAACCACCAAAATGATTTAGGTAATTTTTTAGGCCCCTACATTGCGCATGTGACCCCTACCGCACCATGCAAAAGAAGAGCTCTCCAGAAATTCGCCAGCACACTTCCACACTTTACGCCTATTTTGCAGGCTCAGGCGCCACTGGCTCCACCGCAGTCGCCCCAGCTACAGCTTTATGCATTTCGGTTCATCTCGGTGGATGGGTGATTGGTTCAGGGTTCAGGTTGGAATGCACGAGGTGACGCCTTTGATGAGGTCGTGGGACGCGAAATGTCGGGCGTGTCCTGTCAGGAACTCTCGGCTTCCAGATTTCTGATGAGGGTTCAGAGGCATGGGGATGTTGGAAGTTGGCCCTAAAACCCTAAACCCTAGGCCCTAAACCCTACATGAGCAGACCTTCATGATCCCGCGTTCAGGCCCAGCGCTGCTCCGGATGTGAAGCCAGGCCTCGCGGACGGTCAGATGCCCTCACGACACCACGGAACCCAGGGTCTTGGGGATTTCGTCCGCAGGCGGATTGAAAAATCCTGAGATTCGGTCTGCCTTCAATCCTGTTTGCTAGGGTATCCGACAGATGCTTATGGCCGGATTTTGACGGATGTGCAGGCCCTCCACATCGCAAGAACAGCGACGACTCTCCCGTCGGGGAGCCGAGAAGCCGGCTGCATTCCATAAGTCAATCATACAGAACTACTCCACTATTCTTAGTATTCTCCCGATCACCATATGCGTAATGTAACAGGAGTAATTAAGATTGCACAAGAATGCGAGCCACTAGAACTCCGTCCGAAGGTGGGTGCAGACTTTGCTGTCCTTCTGAACCGTCATAGAAACCCTGAAAGGAAGCCCCTTGGAGGACGCCCCCAAAGCAAGCGCCTGTAGCCGATAGTAACCATTAGAGGAAAGGCCCAAGAGTATCCCTTAAGGGGAGGCCCTAAAGTAGCCCTTTGAAGAATTGAACACCCTAAAACCTAAACCCTAAACCCTAAACCCTAAACCCTAAACCCTAAAGCCCAGGCAGCACCTCTTCCACAGATCCAGTCTTCGAAGGCTCGTCGGAAGAGGGACATAAAACCGAGTCACACCCCCGTGAAGGAACCCAGAGAAAGGAACTCTTATAGACCCCCCTATAGATCTCAACACTTCGCTGTAGGGTGTAGGATTGTGTTTAGGGTTTTGGGTTTAGGGTTTAAGGGTTTAGGGTTTAGGGTTTAGGGTTTATAGAAGGGAAGTAAGGTTCAGGATTTAGCGTTGAGGATCCCTGGGTTTAATGTAGGGCTTGGGGTCCTTGGTCCGAACTCTCTGCAGCTTCACAACTTCAGATTAATGTAGGGGGCCTAAAGCATTACACATACTTTTTGGTTTTTTTTGGAGGGGGGGTCCTTATTACAATTATAGTATAAAGGGCCCCCAAAATCCTATTCTAATTCGACTTATTCAGGCCCCTATATATTACAAGCATTCGCCGCAAGGCCCAGTGTCTCAGCAGATCTTTAGGACGTTCGGGGGATGTTGCTTTCTGTTCTCATTGCTTCGTGTCTGCCCGCGGACTCCAACACTCATAGTAAGTACGGCAGACAAACAGAGCTTTTGCCATTGGCCCTTGGCCGATGATGCACATCTGTCCCAGTGTTTCTGTTCTGTGTTGGTGCATGGTGGCAGGCAGTGGCGTGAACAACCCGATAGATCCCCAAACAGGTTCAGAGCCTAAACCCTAAACCCTCATGGGGTTTACCGGCCTCCCAACACACCGAAGCATGTAGCCGTAACCCCACAGCACACTTTCGACGGGTAAGTTGTGAAAGAAGAACTCCTCTGCAAGTAACAGGTCAAGTTCCAAGGACAGAGTTCCGCCGTAAGGGCCTAAGCGGTGAAATGAAGGAACGGTATCAACGTCCCATGAAGCACATATAGACTCCGAGAAAGCATCCATGCCGCAGGAGTTCCCCACCCTCGGTGGGACTGCTGAGGCGGGGGGTTAAGCAGCTGCATTCGAGATGTGGGGTTAGGGAATCGCTTCCCAGGATTAAGCAAACAAAGACCAACCTGTCCATTCCGCGCAGACCCTGAAATCCGAAATCTCCAAACCTAAACTTCGACCAGAGATCCTGGACACTAGACCCCAAACGCTAACAGGCCTGATCATTGGGATCATCTGTGGTTTTCTGTTGTTGCAAGGGCCGAGACACCTCATGAGATAAGTTGCAGGGAGATGATGATTGTAGGATAGGGTTTAGGGCGATTTAGATTTTACTCCTCCTACTAACATGCTGTTGTTTCGCTGTTGCTATTATCCTTGCTTTCCTTAGCAGTCCTGAACTACGCATCAGACTTGGAAGTTTTGCTGTGCATACAGGCTGACATATAGAATACAATAGAAAGAATACAGCAGAAATATAATGGAACAGTAGATGTGTAAATCACACTGTCTCTCTCTCTCGCTCTCTCTCCTCTACCTCTCGCTGTGGGATCCCATCGTGTTGTTGTTCGTTCTGTTCCAAGCGTGCAGGAGGTGGTCATGGCTCCGGTTGACACGAGTACGACGACTGGTGGCTTCTGGGAGCGTCCAATGCGCCCTGTGAAGGCCGACGGAGGGACCGGAGGTCGTGTGTTCATATGTTTATGTATATGCGTATGTCTACGTATATGTCTATGTGTTTGTATATGTAAATGCGTTAGTGGATGTGGGGATGTGTATATATACAGATACACATATGTAGGTGTGTATACAGATGTGTATATATATATATGCATACTACAATATATTAAAATGTTACAACATGTACCGGAAGTTATATAATGCTCATGGGGATCAGGAGAAGACCTCAGTTGTGTCTCTCACGGATTGGGTTGAAGTAGCGGATGAGCGGTTTGAAGTCCTCTTTCTAAGATGTGTAGTTTAGTTGTGCTCTATTGGTGCAGGAGGTTGAAGATACAGAAGATAACGATCCCCGCAGGTGTTTGCACGACGACGTTGATGAGGCTTCATACACCCTTCGCACCAAACCATAAGCTTTAAACCCTAAAGCCGTAAGCCGTAAACCCTAAACCTTGTAAACCCCAGACCTCAAAGCCAAACCATCAATCCTTTTGCCCTAAACCCTGAACCCTCAACCCTTTAGCCCTAAACCCTAAACCCTTTCGCCCTAAACCCTCAACCCTTTAGCCCTAAACCCTCAACCCTTTTGCCCCACACCCTCAACCCTTTAGCCCTGAACCCTCAACCATTTTTCCCTGAACCCTAAACCCTCAACCCTTTTTCCCTAAACCCTAAACCCTCAATCCTTTAGCCCTAAACCCTCAACCCTTTTGCCCTAAACCCTAAACCCTCAGTCCTTTAGCCCTAAACCCTCAACCCTTTTTTTTCCCCCTAAACCCTAAACCCTCAGTCCTTTAGCCCTAAACCCTCAACCCTTTTTCCCTAAGCCCTAAACCCTCAGTCCTTTAGCCCTAAGCCCTCAACCCTTTCCCTAAACCCTAAACCCTCAATCCTTTAGCCCTAAACCCTCAACCCTTTTTCCCTAAACCCAAAACCCTCAATCCTTTCGCCCTAAACCCTCAACCCTTTTTCCCTAAACCCTACACCCTCAATCCTTTAGCCCTAAGCCCTAAACCCTTTTTCCCTAAACCCTAAACCCTCAATCCTTTAGCCCTAAACCGTTAACCCGAAGGAAAGCTTCGAAGTGCGGTTTCCAGGTGCCCAACGCCAGCGACTTCCCAGAGCCCGGGCCCTCCCCCAAGGCGAAGGCAAAGGCGATGCCCAGCAAGCCTGCTTCCCAGCTTTCTGTCCTGGGGTTGAAGCGACTTCCGGGGTTTCGGACTGTAGGGTTTGGCAGTTTTTGAGGTTTTAGGTTTTTGGGTTCAGATTTCATGGCTTTTGAGATTTTAGGTTTTTGGGTTCAGATTTCATGGCTTCCGGCCTGGATTCTCGGCTGCAGCGAGTACGAGCGAGGGTGGGCTTCGCATTGCGGGTCGAAGGAGATGTGACTACAATGCTTCTCGGCTGTTACTAGCCTGCCAAACCCCAAACTGTTAACCCCCAAACCCTGAATCCTCTCCTACTCCACGTACAGACATATGTATATAAAGAACAAAATGAATACATACATACATATATACATATTTTTACATACAGATACATGAACGAATAACTCGATATACATATATATATATATACACATATATATATATATATATGTATTTTTGTTTGTTGATGAATTTATTTGTTCAGTGATTTGGTTATGCGAAAATTCGTTTGTTTATTCATTTAATTATAGCAACTTCGTTACACAGGTTACGTAGATACGTAGAGATAGACGACTTTGGACCATAGATGTAGGTAAAGAGGTAGGTCTTTACCGCAGTCTATTGCCGGTCTGCCCAGGGCCGCTCCATCCAAGAAGGATGACGAGAAGAGCCTGAGCCTTAGGGCTGCTGCCATTCCCGAACAACTACTGTGGGAGCAGGGGTTTAGAGATTGTGGGTATAAGGTTCTCAGGGTTTGAGGGGCGCGAAGAATTTCAAGGATTTTGGGTCAAGGACGAATTCGTTCAGGTTCGTGTCAGTGCCTGCGTGACGGTTGAGCAGTTAAGCAGTCGAAAACCCGCAGAGCACTGAAATGAGAGTTCTGCAGAGCCCCTTGCTCAGGGTTCTGTCTGCGCTACATTCCCCGAAACACGACAGGGATGCCAACTCTGTAAGTGTGCACATTGCATCCGAGCACAACTCTCAGAGACGGGCGCTGGGATGAAGTGCCGTAAGAATTGACAAGCAGAGGAAGAGCGAGCTGTTTGGCCTGCGCTTTTACAGAGTTCCTTCTTGGAGGATCATGGGACTTAGTAACTAGGGTTATAAATAAGGTAACAATAATTATAACCCCAATTAGGGTACTTATAACCTTACTTACTAAGTCCCATGATCCTCCAAGTTCGTCGTTTCCCGAATGATTTCCGAAGGCGTTCAGAGACGCGAGCAAGCCAAGGTCCGAGCGCTGGGTATGTTTGGAATTTTGGGCTATCTATCTAAGATCTATCTACCTAACTGGCTTTCTAGATACATCTTACATATACACATACACACACACACACATATATATATATATATATACACACACACGTATTCGTTTACAGCTTCGACTGTCGAATGAACTGCCGGGGCTGCGTGCGGCCTTCGACGTTGGGAGTGACGGGTGTGGAGACTGAGCTGCAGAACTGTTTCATATGATATGGGAGTTTCCGAAATAATGGGTACCTTATTTTGGGGTCCTTATAATAAGGATCCTACTATTTAGGGTACTATATTAGAGTCCCCTATTTTCGGAAACCCCCATATATGTATAGATACATATATAGTAATACATACACGTGTTAGTATGTGTAAACATATAGTGGCCTCAATCCGAGACGTCAGTGGGTCGGCCAAGCATCTTGACTTTGCCGCGGCAGGAGCTCCTGACACAACACGGCCTTCCTTTGGAAGACCCCCTCGTGGGCTTCCTCCTGTCTGTTGGCACCTCCACGGAGGTCCATGACTACTTGCAGGCAGGTCTAAAACCCTAAACCCTAAAGCCCAGAGCTCTGGCTTGGGATTCCGTATGTAACTTAGCGTCATGGCTTGGAAGAACCCGGCTTCCGTCCTTGATTCAAGAGTCTGGCTGCTTAGTCATGCGACCACAACTTCTTTATGTCTCCATATACGACTTAGAAGTAAACATGACGAGGACATCCTACTCTTATCTGGCAGGTGCCTCTATTAGCCGAGTTCCTGAAGAATCTGAAGATGCGCTCTCACCTCTGTCGGCTTGCATGCCAAGCGCTTGAAGCCCATAGCGCGGGTCTGAACCCATACAAGTACCGTCGGTACCGTAGCAAATAAGACCGGGGTTAGTGTACAATAAAATAAGACTACAAGTGGTATACCAGGGAGACTATTGCTAATTACTGAGACGCCCTCGCTGTCCCGTCACAGGCTTACTACGAAGCGGACGCTGATACGGCACGTCGCTTTACCGAGGTTCCTGTGGTAGCTGTGTGGCTGGTTGCATCTGTTCTAGACAAGACTTCTGTTCGTGTCATGCTTCGGGGATCGCGCAGGGAACAAGGGAAATTGCAAGCCTCAAAACGTGAACCTGCTCCTTGTCCTTACATGTCGCACGTTGTACACCTGCCATCCGCGCACTAGCTGAGCGCTGGAACACAAGGATGCCATTGGAAACTGTGTGAAAGCACGATTCCCAGAAGTGGTTTGACGCAATTGACAGAATAATGCTACTTAGAGCAGTCTGTGTGTAAGCTTCTTTGTCAGGCGTTCGTGGAGAAGGGGCTGATTGCAGAGAAGCCAGCGAAAGAGGCCGGCCTCGGAAAGCGAAAATCCATGCCGCAAGTCATTTTGCTAAAACTGATAGCCTAAACCCTAAACCTTGAAGCTGATGTTTCCGACCCTCAACCGATTGAAATCTTCTCCCCTACGGCTTTCTAGTTTTGGATGGCCCCTGTTCCTGCCTGTTCGGGCTATCTGCGAGCTAAAGAGGCATGCAACGAGCTTTGGCCAGAGAAAATCCTGGGCCCCATTTGCAAAGGCCACTCCCGGCTGCATACAAGAGGTCCTGTGGATTTAGATGTTTACATGGACTCCGGAAACTCATCACGTGATTATGAGCCAAATGACAAGCAGCTTGAGCCAGGCGGCCGGAGCCGGTGGTCGGAAGAAACGCGTGAAGGGCAAAGAGGCACGGCCACGCTGTCCTGTTGCATATTAGAATACGTAAAATAGTATACTATGGTACAAAATGCTTTGTTATAATACCTCATAGCTTATCATGTTGCTTCATACATTTGCGTGTATTATACTGATGCGGAGGCGGACGGCACAGTGCCGAGGTCTTAAGAATTCCATGAGACCTGCCTGTCTGAGGTGGATCCCTCAATGCTGGGCTTCACAGCGGTTCCCCGAGGGCAGTGAGGTTGGGGAAGTTTGCTCCCGCCAGAGTCACACAGGTAGAGACTCTACGTATCACGTGTTCCTCTACGGCTGGAACAAACCTCCCTTGTTTCAACCCCTTCCACAGTCTCTTCAGGAGGTTGCGCAAAGAGCCGAGCAAAGTTCATCTCCGAACCCTGATATTATATTATAGTGCCCTGAAGATGAAGCCCTACCTTAAGAACCCAAAACCCACTTTTTTGTAGGTTCTTATCATAAACCTTAATATGGGATTTATAGGGACCCTACAAAAAAGTAGGTTTTGGGTTCTTAAGGTACATAAGACAGCGTTTAGTGACTTAGCGTTTGTTTGCGTTTTGGCGCTTCCAGCTCTCTCGAAACACCGACCTCCTGGGAGAGGCGATACCGAGACCACAGCACCTCAGACATTCGGAGCCGGTTTCTACATGATGTCTATACGTGGCGATATACAGAAGATAGACTCACGACTGCACGTGTGTATATATATATAGAAATAAATAAATACATAAATAAATAAATATATATATATATACATACCTGTATGTATGTGTATATATATATACACACACATGCACGCATACATACACGTGGGCAAGCCCATATCGGGGTTTGGCGCAACGGCTGGGACTCGCCCGATGCTCCTACTGACAGCTTTGAGGCACTCCGTTGGCAAGCGACGTTTCTGCAGGCGCCTATCTTACCAACACCACCAACCGTGGCTTGTATTATGGTTTCTCTTTTGTGCCTGTACAAATGTGGGTACACACAGGATATGCATGTATATATAGGCACACACCAATTGGATAAATATATATATATATACACATACATATATGTGTATGTACACACATGCATGTGTCTCTATATATATATATATGTATATATATATATATATGTATATATATATATATATGTATATATGTGTGTGTATATATATATATATACATGTATGTATGTGTGCATGCGTGGCAGCCATCTGCCCGTTCAACTCTCGCCTTTGCGGTTTCCACCGTGGCAGCGCGGACAAGGCGGTCAAGGTGCTGCGGTCTGTTGGAACACGGAACCAGTTTTGCGTTTGCCACAGGCGAACTACTTCGGAAGGGATCCTACGGGTCGCAGATGTAAAGCGCAAGGCAAGTAGAAGCTTTTCACAACTGCCCGGCATGTACGGGCAGTTGTGACTAAAGTCTCGCGATCCCCTCCAAGAGGCATAAGAGGATTCAGTAGGGTAAGCGTCTCGGGAAGCCTACAGGGCCCATGAGGCAACGTCGCCTCGAAGAACTGTGTGGAACCGCTTGGATGCGTGTTGTTTAGTCCAAGGCCTCCCGAGAGCTCTCGATCAAACCCTTGGGACTACACGACCTGCTGGCCCGGGTGCCCCTGGTGTGGACGTGGGCGCCAGACGGGCCGACAGCGGACAGCATACTGCCCTCCGCAGTCTCACCGTGCGGCACAGGAGTTTGTATCACCAGAGGGGCGAGATTCGCAGTGGCATGCTTTCGACGTCCTCCACGCGTTTTGCCTCGGCTTGGCTATTGCAAGCCTAAATGATTGCCACCGTGCACGACAGTCGGTGACGTGGGCAATGGTTTCAGATTGATTCCTTGGCAGTTTCGGGTTCGGGGGGCATTTTGCTGCGGATGAGGAGTCTGCTTCCCAGAATTGACTTGACTGATGGCTCTCAGGGGCGTACTTAGAGCGAGCTTTATGGGCTCAGTGATGTAATCTCGGTTTTCCAGCAAACAGGGAACCCTAGATTGTCCTAATTCGGGACGACAATTGCAGGATCCCTAGGACAAGTCTCCCCAAATAAGATAAGAAGGAGAAGGGGAAGAGTGAGCTGAGGATCCAGTACCCGTGCCCCCAAAACCCTACATCTTCGGGGTGCCTCGTTCTGAGCCCCTGACATAGTTCATAAGACAGGTAGGGGCTGGCGCTCCAAGTCGTACTTCTGTAGCATGCGAGTTTAGAATTAAAGTTGTTTCGGGCTGTAGAAGGTACAGAGGTCCAGCGGATGGCTGCTCGAATTCAAAGCACAGTCTCCAGAAGTAGGTCGTGCTGGTCGGGTTTTGGGTTGAGGGTTGAGGGTTTAGGGTCGTTCGAGTCCATTTTGCAGTCTGGTCAGGTGGTCCATCGGCTTGCATGAGCCAGCGAGATTTGTTCGTGCCCGCTGGTTGGATTGGGCACCTATATGGATAGACCATACCCTGCTGAGCGGCAGCTGAACTGCCGGTAGAGCCCCTCGTGCAGCGGTTTAGGGTTTAGGGTTTAGGGATTTAGAAGAGCGCCAAAACTCCAAAAGCGAGCCGTAGTCGGTAGATCAAAATGAGAGTGCTGCGGCGTTTTGGCACCTGGTCACCTGTGGAAGCCCTGCTTTATGGGGCTTGCTCCTTCAGGTTTCTTCCGGGGCTGCTCAGACGGGTCATTGCACTTCCTGGAGCCCAGCTCCTCATTGTGGATCCCAGAGAGGCTGCAGTCTCGGGCTTTAGGGTTTAATGAGTTTAGGCTCTATGGGTATGTTTTGCCTGGTAGTATGCTAATTATAGCAGCTTCTGTGTTAGGGCATAAGATCCTGAAGCTGAAGTATGATTACAGGTTCAGAGGCTAGCTACAGTTTTCCTTCATTAGCAGATGCTAGTTACAAGCGTGCTGCATCATTCCAACGTGGCCTTGTGCAGCAATTCCGGGAAAGCCGTTACCACACAATGCTCATGAGGGCTCCCCTAAACCCAAAACCCTAAACCCTACACCCTAAACCCTAAACCGTTTGCCTGAGAAGCTAAAGAGACGAAGGCGGTGCCTTCTATGTTGGTGCTGGCCAAGCACCGACTTCATGAGGGCCTAGCCGAGACTGCTTTTATTCGGATGCCTCTACGACACGAAGTCACGGCAGGATTTTGAGCACCGCTTTGCAGATGGCACTGGCTACCCTCCGGCTTTCTGGCAGGAACATGGACTCAACCAACCTAATAAGAGGGCCAAAATGATTACCAAGACGATTATGGGGGTCTTTATTATCGTTCTAGTATAATTAATTAATCTGCCCCAAGAGCCTATTCTAATTATTAAGGCCCCCACATTAGCCTCTAGGGCCTCGGACAAGCTACGGCTGGTCTGGGGGCGGCGATGCAGACTGTCAGTGCCCTGCCACGCCAATAGACAGCCTAAGAGTTCGATTGATCGCGCATGATGAAAAGCCATTGGTGCCTCAGACTGGGTAGCTTGCTTAAACGAGGCTGGGCGGTGTCTGTGCCATTTCCAACAGCCTCATGACCCCTGAGAGCCCGACCTCAGGATTGCAGCCTTGCAGCAGCTGAGTCGACCCTTTGATGCTGACACCTGTGATTGTTTTCACTTGCCGCCGCCAGCAGCCCACCAGCTTTACCCTGACATATGTACTGCAGCGAACTTCCCTACCCCCAGTGTTGCCTTGCATTGTACATGAACCAAAAGCTGATGCAGACGAAGACTCATCGCAACAGGCCGCCGCTTGAATCCTACGATCCCTGCAGCCATGGCATCTTTTGTACAAGGGAGCGTCGCGCCAGGCGAGTGTGGCGGCCTTGTCGAAGGATTTATCCAAGCTGCAGAGAAGCTAAAATCATAGGAATTTATCGAATAGTTTGAAGTATAGTACAGTTCAGTATGGTATATGAGGGCTGCTGTGCCTGCTGTGCTTGACCCGGATTTGTTGTGTGCTTCACGATGCTCGTTTCCCGCATGGAACAGATGCCCCAGAGGAGTCAAAGCAGCAAAGGCTGATTGGTGGTCCAACTTGTCTAGGCTCGGCGCGTCCTGCGTTCATTGCTTACGAGCAAGTGTGGGAAAGGTCAGAGATGCTTGTACAGTTTCCCAACCATCACGAGCCGAGGCGCTTGCACGCTCAAGGCCCATGGTGCAGAGGACGTTGCCCGCCTCGATTGATGTGAAATGCAAATGTATTTTCCTTTTTCATCTTCATTTCATGGCATGGTCTCGAGAGAATGCCGACTGACTAGCAGGGATGTCGGACAATGACTATACAAAATGCCGTTCAGGTTTCAATCTTCTGTGGTGCTAGCGACTGGTGATGACGGTGTGAGTAGTGACTGTGATGGTCTGTGGTGGCGGCGTTCTTTGTCGCGCGGGTGGTCGCGTGGCTGGGGGTTGGAGGAGGCTCTCCGCCACTCACCCCTCGAAGTCAAATATTAAAGTTTTTTGTTTTCGATCATCGATATTGCTTCTTGTAGGAATGAATTACGTACCCTTGACTTGCCAATGGTTCTGCATGTGAAGTTTGTCTGTTCGCGACGCCAAAGCGTGTTCCTCGTTGTCACCTGTGTTGTGATTGCGGATGTGTGGCTCGTGGTGGTTTGTGCCTGTTGTTGTTGGGGGTGGTGGTGTTGTTGTTGTTGCTGCTGGTGGTGTTCCTGCGGTTCCTGTCTGGTCTTCGTTGATGCAATGATGTTCTGATGTTGCCTGAATTCCGGTGGTGCTGTTATGTGCTATTAGTCCCGCAGTTGCTGTTGTGCTCATCGTCGTCAAGGTGGTTTTCGTGCCGGCTTTTGTGATGGTAGTGGTGGCAGGCTCCTGTTGCAAATCCGGTCATTCAGCACGTTTCGCACCATCAACACGACTATCACCGTGGTCACCGACATTTGCATCATCATGGCCGTCATCATCACGACCATCACCTCGTCAGTACTGTTGCAATCGGCACAACGGGACCAATCAACATCAGTGTCCGGCCAGTGTCATCGGGAATTCTCCTCATCGGGAATTCTTCTCATCATCACCTGCGGTATGTATGTGAATTTCATCCCACGCGGAAAGACGGCTGCTAACTTCGCATGCAATTGTCAGAAAAATTACCGGGTCACTCGTAGCCCGTGGCAGTAAAGGAGCAACGAGTACAAGGACAATACAGACTTGTCTACTATTCCACAGTGACGAGGATGGCACGGAGAAGGAGGAGGAGGAGGAGGAAAGTAGCGACAACAAGTGGAAGTAGGATGTTTAATCAAAAACGCTTTTAATTAAAATCAGATTACTGTAGGTGGGAGGAGGACACGAATGATGAGAATGGATCCCAAGCACAGCCTTTCGCATGCAGGATGCCAACGCGCAGAGCCGGCGATGATTCCGGCCGTTACGAAATCTGATTCTGCAAAAGGGTTGACTTGAATCCTTTCTTCTGAGTGAGGTCTGCCCGGATTAACTGTGCCAAAGGATTCGGGGGATGACAGCGCACTGCGAGCTACACAAGCCCGCGGTAGACGGTGGTCTCCGCTTTCGAAATCCGGATTTGTGTGTAGAGAGATGTCAGTGGGTTTTTGTTTTGTGACGGTCTTGTTTGTAGAAGTGCCATACGAAGCAGATCCGTGTTTAACAGCTCGTGTTAATTGAGTTTATCACTGCTGTGACTGCTAGCTTATTCCTGTCGTCTCTCTTACTGCCATGACCACCATTGTTATAGTAATTAGTAGTGTCAGTATTCACTACCAGTCGTCTTACTATGTTGATATTACGGTCACTCCACGTTCCCACTTTAAGGGCCCCGCAACCAGACCTTGGCAGGTCGGGGTCAGATGAGTAGGGTGCTCAGTTGCTATGGCCTGGCATCTCGAAGCGTCTGGAAAGATCACCGGCCCAGGGTTGAGGGCTTGAGGGGGAGACCCGGGCTTAGGGTTTAGGGTTTAGGGTTTAGGGTTTCCCGGCTCTTTTTTGAAGGTGAAGGAAGTCTGTCACAGAGTGGGTCGGAGTCGAGACACGCTGATGCGCCTCAGGGAACCGTGCTGCGCGAGATCTTCAAGAGGCCGGCTCCGTGCCTTTTGCTTCCAGAGGACGGGTGCGTGCTGAAGTCTTAAGTTCTGCGACCGGCGAGGCTGCAGCCACAGCCACGGTTCGACATCAGCAGAGGTTCCCTGCTGAACAATGCAGGATATGTTTTGTCTCGTCCGAGAGTTGTGCTGCACATGCACCAGTACAGAAGTGGAGAGCCGTCGGAAATCATGTTGTCGGGTCATATGATTCGTTTTGCGAAAAGAAATGAATCTCTGTAAAGCTGACAGCCGAAAAGAGCGCTGAGGCCACCCCGCTGTGTTCCCCCCGTTCTGTGCGAGCCCCGCCTCTCGGCCGGCCTTATTTTCAGGAGGACACAGTACAATAACCTTCCAGTAGTAATGACGGCAGTCAGTAGAACAAACGAATATGTACTTGTTGTACAATGATAATGCTCGAAATCGCAGGCGTTGTCTGCTGACAACGCTTCGTTTTGGCTGTCATCTCATCCTGCAGCGTTCTCTTGAAACATCGCTAAACCCTAAACCTAAACCCTAAACTGCAAGTGTTCGCAAATCGTTCGGTTTGTTGGGAAGCCTAAGAGCGGGCAAGAGGTCAGATGTGTGCGATAGCTAGAGACAGAAAGGACGTCCTTTGGCATCTTGCCCAAAGCCTCAAGTCCCACACCCCAACTACTGAACCCTAAACCCCTAAACCCCTCAACCCTAAACCCTGAACCCTTCAACCCGAACCCCAAGACCTCTAAACCCCAAAACCCCTAAACCCCTAAACCCCTAAACCCCTAAACCCTAAACCCCTAAACCCTAAACCCTCAATCGCTCTACTCCAAGTTTCTGGCACTTTGCTCCAAGTGCAGAGAAGCCAAGGCCCGATTCGCCAAGCCCGGAGCTCGGCGCTGTTTCCTAGGGGCTTTTAGTGTTTCTAGGGTTTTAGGGTGTAGGGTTTAGGGTTTAGGGTTTTAGGGTGTAGGGTGTTTAAGGTTTCGGGTTTGGAGGTTTTAGGGTTTCGGCTTTAGGGCTTATAAGGGTTTAGGGTTTTGGTTTGAGGGTTTGGGGGTTTCGGGTTTCCAGGGTTTTAGGTTTAGGTTACCCTGAAGCTGAGAGGCCCTACGGTGAAGCCGCAGTTGCTGTGTTGGTACCTTTTGCATCTGCGAAGCTCCTCGTGCGCATCTTGCTTGCCCTGCTGGGTTTCTTGACTCGGCCGGGTGTCTGGAGCTAAATGGGAGTTTCCAAAAATCAGGGGTACCTTACTCTGGGGTCCTTATAATAGGGATCCTACAATTTACGGTACTATATTAGGGTCCCCTATTTTCGGAAACCCCCAAATGTAGCGAGGAAGTGGCAGGGGCACTGCAGCAAGGTTGGATTTTGCCGTTTCTTCGCAGCAGCTGTAGCCAACCCTGGTGCCACGGCGGCTCTCACCGAGGAAACGCTTCCATTGACGATGACTTCCCAAGCGATGATGATGGGAGCTGGGACGGAGGCCACGCCCTTTTGGGGAGTTGGAGTTTGGGTTCGCCCCTTACTCCTGAACTGCTCGGCTCTAGGGGTACTCTTGCGGACGCTGAGAAGAAAGCTGAGTCGTGGTCTTGCACGATGACGATGTCTTGCAGTACTGTTCCTTCACCCTTGGTTAAAGCTAGAGAATCGGAAATTGTACTCCTTAAAGATACACCCCTTATAAATTTTAAACCCGAATCTCGCAAAGCATTCAGTGTCGTTAGCATCCTCCGGCGATGAGCAAAGCGCACCTCTGTCTCCACTCCTTCTGCGAACTCTGAACTTTCCGTCCGATCTTGCATCTGCACACTTCCTAGGCTGGAGCTCCTCCGCAGCGTCACCGCCGTGAGCTTAGGCGAATCTGTCCTAAAGCCGACCAAAGCATGAGATTGAAAGTTTGGGGCTTATGGCTAACGGCTTGGAGCTTCAGGGGTAGACTGCGGCCGCTTATCCTTAGATCCCCATCAAACCCCAAAGCTTTAAAAACTAAGCCTGAACCCCCCCTGCAGACTAAACCTGCTCCAAGACTCAATTCTAAAGCCTCTGGAAAAGAAATCCCCGAAATCCCGAGCCCTTAACCCAAAACCCTAAACCATTGACCCCTCAACCTTAAACCCTGAGTTTAAACCTCAAACCATGAAGCCCTGGCCTAAACCTTAAGCCCTAAACCCCGAAACCGCCAAAGACCCGAAGCCATTTCACTCAGGCGCTACTTTCATGCCCGGGGTAGGTCTCAGAGCCAGGAGGAGGCCGCGCAAATTTTCCGAACAGTAGATCTACGGCTTAGGATCCAGGGGAATAAGGGTTATGAAGGGTTTCAGTGCTCTTCAGGGCAAAAGCGTTCTACGGGGAGGAATTGAGTAGGGACTTATGGTCAGCATAACTGCTCCCATCCACAAAAAATCGTTCTCTGCTTCTCTCTCGCTCTCTCTCCCTCGCTTTCTGTCTCTTTCTTTCTTTCTCTCTCTCTCTCTCTCTCTGTCTCTCTCCTGGCCTCTCACACTCCATCTGTCTCTTCTGTCACCAAAGGAAACACGGCCGTCTTGCGTTATCTCTCTCTCTCTCTATCGCTCTCTATCACCCTCCTTCCCATGCTCGCTGCCCAGCTGTTCGCTCTCCCTCCTGCCACGGACCCCCCTCTTGTCTTATGCTAGTGAAGGCCATGGGAGGAAGTTGCTGAGCAAGGCATGAGAGTAGAGACGCGGAAGCCAATCCTCCCGAAAGCCTTCGTAAAGCTTCTCGGCATTAGGCAGACAGAAGCCATGAGCCTCAAGAGTTGGAGGGGGACCGACGCACAGCCCAATACTTGTTCCCTGTGTGTCTCTGATTAAGTTGTGGTCTCCGACCTCACCACCTCGAAAATTGAATTGCCTCTCTGTCAGTCGGCGCTTCGCCCTGTGTTTATCACAGCTTCCTTTTCATTGGAGAGCGACGGAGGGAAACGTCGCCAAGAAGGGGAAGTAACCCTCTTGACTACACTGCATGTTTTTCCGAATCCATCTTCTAGCGTATTGTACCATAGCTATTTTGCAGGGCCGCACATGTCGGGTAGGGAAGGCTGTGAACTGACTTGGCTCGCTTTACCCATCGTTTTCGATAGTTTCCGAGATCACACCACGCTGCGAAACCAGAACATCGAAATCTTAGTGGGTCATGCTCCCGAACGCAATCGCTGAGAGCGAAGGCATCTGGTTCGAGCAGAAAGTTTTTCAGCATGTAACAGCATCCGGACACATCGAACTTTTGGCTGCGCAGCTGCGTGCAGGAGAGTGGTGCCTGTGGGACCTCATGCTTCAGCCGGGCAAAGACGAGCGACGAGAGAGACCCGTCCCATGCAAAAAACTGCCCGAAGATCGACTCAGAGGATCCATGGACCACCTGAAGCCTGGGGAAGCCAACCTCCGCTTGCGCCAGGTAGTCTCGGAACTGGGTGCTGCCCTCGGAGCGGCCCTATACATCTTTAACTTGGCTAGCCATCGGGGGGGGGGGGGGGTTCTTCTGGTGTCCCGAAAGAAGTAAAGAAGTACTGGACGTGGGTCTTCGGTCTTCGGAACGAAGCTGGGGGGATTGTGAATTGTGGAGTTGCGGCGCCTTGGAGCAGGTAGATCCCTTAAGGGACGATTTGTAGGAGACGATTCTGCCCCCGTAGGGAACCCGGTGGCTTGTTTCTTTGGGCAAGACCCTTCGTTTCCGGCCCAGGGTGCAAAACTGTCCCAAGTTTCACCGAAATCGATCTTTATAAGTCACACCAAGACCCACACTCTGAACCTGAAACCCACAAGTTAGTAGAGCAGTACTAGCATGACATGCTTCGTAGCATTATACATGGGTATGTCGAGCGAGAGGCGGACCTTAGACCTTGCCTGCCGCAGGCGAGACCTTTCTGGGTGGCGCCATGCTCAGCCTCTATGAAAGTGGGTCCACATATCTTGACCTCGGCTTTTTGATTGAGGGTTCTCCCTTCCACGACGGCTCGTAGATGAATGCGGGCCTGGAAAGGAAGATGTACCAGCAGAGAAAAAGACACATAGGAAAGGCTGAACGAGGAATCCGACATCGAAAGTGCTTTCATCGAACCGAGGAGCATTGATTCAATTCAACACGGAGGGGAACGGTGTGCGGCTGAATGCGCAGAGCTCAGTCTACGTCTGTTGGAAGGATCATGTCCCTACACCGGAAAGCTCCTGGGGTACCTTGCGTTCGGGACAGTTTGGCGTAAGAACTTCTGAAGGAGCCTCCAAACCAAAGACTCCCTCCCCTGTTAGGCTGCCAGGGTCTGCAAGAGCTGCTGCCCTGGAGAGGAAAAAAAGATGAAGAACGCAGAAAGTGTTAAAGTCAGACCGCCCTGAATGCCGAGATGCAGCAGATCTTGGGGTCCAGCCAAGACCTGAGCCGTGCAGCAACTCTTAATAATTAGAATAGGGTT